GTTTTTCATGAAAACAGTACACTTAGAGCTGGCATCCTAGTGAAGCTTCTCTGTAGTTTTAGTTCTAGCGCATTTGTCTGCCACCAGAAGGAGCTTGGTACTTTGAACAGGGCAAAGCTCCTGCTTCTGTCTTGATGCGCCTAATTTTAGTACACAAAATGTATTAAGTTGTATAGAGAAAGCATGTGACAGCACTAGTGGCTCCTTTACCTAAACCGATATGCTGGAACAGTGCACTGTATGAGAAGAGCTTCTTAAAATCTTTTCCTTCTTCCCTCTCCCTTTACCTCAAACTGCTATTGCAGTTGCTTCCTTTACCTGGAGGCATGGATTTGATTAGCAGACACTGTGTACTGTCAATCAGTTTACTGCACAAGCAGGGACTTCTGAATACAGCCAAAACTTAATTCACAGTCAAGAACAATAGACTTCTTCCTCCATGCTCCAGCTTGCAAAGGATCATAGTTCAGCTGAACAGTCAAGACATTGTAATTCTTGTTGCTTTTTCACTTTCTGAAGAGGCACAGACTGCCTCCCTAGAAGCATTTATAAGTATATGCAGGGCTGCAGAAAGCATGTTTTTACCAGTACAGAAAAAATGGAGTAGCTTTCTGCAATCACCAGGTAGCCTCACGTAAGTGGCACTTTCTGCCAATTACTTCTGAAACAGGGGTTCACCAGGCAAGAGCCAGCTAGAAAGTCAATTGATTGCAGACTCTGAGAGCATCAGCCTCCACTGCTTGATGTGTCGTTGGTCACAGTCTGAAGAAGAGGTCTCAGTGCTTAAACCCCAAAACTGCAAGAGAAGGGTACAGTATTAACTACATGTTGAAAGGAACTCCCTTTATCAACCTACACCAGCATTTTTCAGCCAATACGAGCTATCAGCTAGTTCAACTTCTGGCCAAAACAAACAAGAAGGGGAGAAAGCATATGAAAACCAAAAATTAACTCATACTAGTTTGTTATTTTTCTGTCATAGTATTTAGCAACACTTTGGTTTTAATTATTTTGGCTTACACAATCAACAAACGTTACTTACAGTAATTTAGATAACTTTGTACTTCAAGTACCTCAGGATAATGCTACCAGCAACCCTGAAGATAATCCTACCTGCCCAAGGTTCCTCCAGCCTGGGTGTAGTATTTGTTATAATCCAAGCGTAGCAGCAGTTGAGCTAAGTCAGAGTTTATCTGATGGTTGCGAACACTAGAGAGAATCTTGAAGAGAAGTGATGACTGACGACTGAATCCCTACAAATTAGAAGAAGTCAGTTCTGGGCCTTCTAAAGAGACAAAGAAAGCAAGCAAGCCTTTCATCTCTGTTCCTGCCTAAACAATCCTTTAGCAGCCTGAAGAAAAGAATCACTGCAAGAGAAGTGATGTTGTGGTCCAGTATAAGGTAAGCTGTCAGCCACAAGAATTACTAGGTGTTAGGTATCTGAAAGGACGGGTTAGAGGCACAGGCTGATATCCACCTCCTTTCTGTTCCAATAGGGTAATTTCTGCATATCTGCCCACGTTCCTCCTCTCTCTGCACACAGAAATTTTGACTCAGAACAGTTTATTATTTAAAATCATTGCAAGAACTCATACAGAACGTGTCAGCTTAGACTCACTCCTGTTCTACAGCTGTTAAAGCCAAGATGACTGCTTAGGCAAATGTTTGCATGGGAGAAGAACAGATCCATATAGATATAGATTCACCTTCACCAAAATACTGAGTTGTGCAGCTCCCCGTTCATCTAAAGGGCCCAGATTCTGACTGACCAGAGAACAAAAACTGTGGCAAAGATCCAGAATTTCATTTAAGCAGTGGAAAACCTGCATAGGATAGAAAGTACAAGACAGTAAACAGAGTTCAAACCCAGAGAAAGCTGTTCTTAGTACCTGAAAAGTTGCAACATTCATAATCAAGATGTAGCTGATACCATGTTTTTCAATCAGTAAGGAAGCTGTTAAAGCACCTGTAGCATTTTTGTAAGGTTTTCTACAGGAAAAAGGACTTAAATGTTATGATGCATCTTCCCTCCCCACCCCCAACCTTTTACAGATATTATTGGGGAAACAGCCATTGGCACAAGCCATCCACATAGACACAGAAGTTGAACATCAGCATCCTTATCCAACCAGCAGGACATCATTGCAGCTTCAGGATCGAGAAGCAAGAATAACAAACAGTTTCTCTGTTCACAAAACTTGGAATTTCTTTTGTATCAGCTGGTCAAGGTAACTTGCATTCAAGAGTATTAAGAAAGCCCACCTGCCTCATAGACCTAACTACTCGAACATTTAAAAGTGCCAGGCTGGGTAATTAACATTGTCACCTTTATGCTACAGCCTCATAAGACTGAGCAAGATAATGAAGCAGACAAGATCTGCAGTATGACTGTGTTTCACTGATACCAACCTTCTCTGGGAATGTTTTTCTGAGGGTACACGTTTAATGAAAACACCAGCAACAATGTAACATGTTTTTGACTAAAACAACAATTAAAAACACCCTTGAAGTCCACTCAGGAACATCTCAACTATTTTCATCATCTAAAGTATAAGTAAGAAAGGGAATTTTTCCCTAATCTAATGCATTTCAGAATGAGTCCCTCAGGGGACTCATTGCCTGTGAGGAAAAATATAGCAACAAAAATTAAGTTAATAAGGTTAACTGAACACTGGAATAATCTTGGTTTAAAATTGCCAGGAATGCAACATCCACACTCGCCAACTCTGAATTAAGTGATTTTAATTTAATTAAATGATCTGTTCTAATTTATAGCTCCTTTATTCCTAGAATTGTAGCCTGTGCTCTGCAGATTATCATTGATCTGTTTTAAAAGAGCTGGTTTGTCATATCTGTTCAAAAAGGTATGTTTCTTAGGGCAGTTAAGAATTTGTAGAAAAAGGTGAAAACAAGACCTACTTACAGGTTTTAGGAGGATGAAAGACTGAGCCAACAGATTACTTAAGAAATGATCATGAGCCAATCGTATACTCTCAAAATCTCGCGTGGCATTTATCTGCTGCAAAAGCTGTGAGAACTGAGATTCCAGTACATCCACCTGATGGATATGGGAAGAAATCTCATTAGTATCTTGAGGAATGGGAGTACTTCAGACTAGCCAGAAGTTTTGTTTAAGATACTTACTTTCCTTATTACTAGTCTTACTTTAAAAGCTGAGAATCACCTTCTCTCTGCCTCCAAAATGAGGAATTACATACAACAGCAGTACATAACGGGGAGGTGGGGGGACACACACGACACCTACCACACAATTTTTGATGCCCAAGTATTAACTAAGTAGAAAGGGAAATGGTCACTTTCTTTAAGATTAACTACTGAAAAAAGTATAGAGCTAGTATTTAAACAAAGGTATTTGATTGTAGTAATCTCTGAATTTTACACTGGGAGATACTATCTGGAATCTCAGGGCAAAGGCTGCTGTGCAAAAGCTCAACCAGATTACTCTGGAGAATCTAGAAAGCCAGGCCTCCTCAATTCAGTTGTTATGGTTAATAACAAAATAGTACGCAAGTCTCACAAAATCAAGCTACTAGTAACTGGTGTTTACATTTGAAAAGTCTCTTTTTCACATCAAATGTCTTCTTTCAATTCTTAAAAAAAACCCCACAACACAAAATCCCCAAACAAGCAAAAAAACCCCCCAAAAAACCAACCAACCAAACCCCAAAGCAACAACTTGTCACTTAAAACGAAACTGGAGTTCACTTAAAAGGGCAAGGGAAGAAGCCAGGATGGTATCTTAATGATGCTACTTCAGAGATGACTGTGGCTTCTCAAAAATGCTTAGTACCAGTAGAGGGCCAAATGCCTGCATTTCCAGTAACACTCTCTGATTCACAAGTCCAAAATCTTTCTAATTGTAGCACTAAGTGTGGGAACTCAAGAGAGAGTTCTGAGCTTGTTCCAAAGGAAATCCTGATTTTCCTAAGGTACAAATAATCTAAACCCTGAAAGACAGGGCTTCAGTGCTCCCTCCATGAATTTCTGACGGTTCCTCACTGATAACAGTTTACCTTTCTCTATAATCCTGACCTGCAGATAATACTGAAGATTGTCCACAAGGAAAGCCATGTGATCCCTCAGGCGCCACTTGATGGCATCAGTTCTGTTAGATTTCAGGTGTTTGCGTTGCATCTGGAGAGCCCAGCAGTGCTGTAGCTCAGCCTGAACTCGTCGCACACTCAGCAAGTATTTGAACACAACATTGTACCTACAGTCAAAAAAATACAAAATTGATTAAGATGAAAATTTTCCTTGGGTGCAGGTACTGGAGAACATAACAATGCAAGGCAGGAAAAAGAAACAGGAGGTGGCTGCCTGCTAACAGACAACGTAGGTCAGGTGATAGCCCATGTTGCAATAATAGGTTTCTGCTTACTTGTTTTGGTTGCTAACCTAAAAAAATACAAAGTTAATTTCACTGTAAGGAGGGAAGAGTTGACAGTGTTTTGTCAGAGTAGCACTGTTTGCAAAATAGTGCAGATCTATCAGTATCTTGCAGGTCTTGCTGTCATTACAAGTACCCTCAATATGAAAAAGTGGAGACAGTTATTTTAAGGTTCAAGGAACAAGCTGAAGTATTATAGCTCTACTTAGAGAGGAAAAAACCCAACACATTACTGACTGCCTGAGATGAGGGAACCTATAAATAAATATACAAAGACTAGAGCTAGTACTTACTTCTCCAGAACAGCAGGAGTAAAGAGAATATGCAGTGGCCACTGAACTTTGTAAGAAAGGCCCAGAGCTGCCCATCCAGATGCAGGGGCTTCACGAGGAGATAACTCCCGAGAAGGCCCTTCACGAGTCTGAGAAGTATCTGAAAACAAATGAGGTGCTGAATTAAGTAGTCTTCTCAATCAAGACAACCATGGCAAGAAAAGAGGAAAGAGAACAAGAAGAGCCAAAGCAGGCTAGGCCATCATATAAGGCTGCAAAAGTGAGCAAAGTTAATATTTCTTTAACTTCAGAGAAGGGTAAGTAATAGGACTTGAAAACAAGGTCTAAAAATACAAGTAGATACCTTTATGTTCCTTTCCATGATACTCAATCGTTAAGTGAAGCAGAGGAAGAAGGTTGTCATCATCTAACAGTACCTTATGAGCAGATTGTTGAAATGCAACGTTGACATCTGACAACGAGAGAACACAAGATATCAACACAAGATGATGCAGCTAGTGCAAATTTTGCACCCATTAATTCTTTATGCTTGGCCATGAAAGACAACACTGACACACTATTTCACAGAATCACAGAATGGTGGGGTTGGAAGGGACCTCTGGAGATCATCTAGTCCAACCCCCTGCCAAAGCAGGTACATCTAGACATTTCCACTATTTTCATTTAATTCCAGTTTCAAATATGGAGAGAAACCTGCCTTCTGAGATGGTATTTTCACCCACCCTGTGAAGCATTCTAATTCACAAATGTGTTCTTTCAAAACTGCTGACAACATCCAGAGGATAAGACAGAGCTCTTCTGTACTGGATGTGGCTAACCATTTTCCTGCTATACGACAGCGAGGTCAGTTTGGTAAGTGAATAAGCAATACTCGCCATGTTCAGTTACAGCCGTAGGTGGTGTTTTTAACATGTGCTGTGCAGTGTCAATGAAGGCCTGAAACAGCTCACCTCTTCCCAAAAGGTAAAAGTCTTTTATAATCTGTGGAGATAATTTTTTTTTTTTATATAGCATATCAAAAACTAAACAGAAATTTTAAGCATCCTAGCTGACAGCATCCATTTTTATTATTGCTTGAACAACTTCCACCATTTCAAAACACAGCTGGAAAGCTATGAAGTTCATCCAGTGCCCAAAAAGTCTATGCTGCATTTGCTTCAAGATGCAAACCACAAAACCACATACACATACCCCTCTAACTCTGTGTATGACCCAGTTCTATCATTTTCTGCTCATTGTTGAGACCTGGAAAATGAAAAGAGCTTTACCTCTAAGAAGAAAGCAAAATCTAAGACAGTAAAGTATTTAATGGGAAAGAGCCATTATAAAAGGAAGAAAAAAAATGTTAAGCTGCTTTAGCAAAAACAAGCTAGCAGTTACATTACCTTCAGTTGTCCTAGTAAATCTGATTCCTCCACCATCAGCTTCCAGAGATGCTAGTGAGGAAACAAAACAAAACTCCCCTCAGATGTATCTAAACCCATTTGGTGAGAACAGCAGCTGTCTTAAAATCCTTACGATGCATACTAAAAAGCACCTATAAAAAAATGCTATATAAAGCAGAAGAGAACACATGAAGAACCCTGTGTGTAAGCAGCCCATGCTACTAGTTAGAACACTCTTGACGTATACCAGCAAGAAAGTCTGCCCAAGAAACAAGACCCATGACAAAAAATAAGCAAATTCTCATTAAATCAGTTCCACACTAGCTTTGTTACTCACTTGTCTAACCTCCCCATCTTCTCAGGTTTCCCCCCCAGCCACACCAAATTAAAAAAAATTAAAAATTGCCAAAGCAAAGAATTTGTGCAGTGAGATGCCATCTATTATGCTGAAAGCATGATGAAAAGTTCTGAAGTTGTTGCAAGTAAAATTAAAAAAAA